TTCATATCACATTGTTGGTGTAAAATAGCAACTCGAAATGAGAGTGAGTACGACACATCCTCCTCCAAAATGAAAGAATTCTTAACAGTGTTGTTTCTTTGTATTTGGATCCTTCAACTAAAACACAGTCGAACAAGAAATTCGACATTACATAAATGGGGATTTGAATCATGTTTCTTAAGGCCAATAAGAATGGGAGTATTGTTTTACAATTTGATTTATTCCTATTTCTTACCATGTACATGTACCTGCCACCCTTTGGTTACTGAGAACATCCACCTCTACATGTCGAGTTTACAGGATCTTCTGAAAATCACATATGTCTGCTTAACATGATCAAAAACCAATGCAGACCTGAAAGCAATGCTTCTATACAGAGGGGATTATGGGAGGCCAAAGCATTGTCTTGGGGGTTGTTGCAAGATAAACGGGCATTCGGAGGGGTTTAAGGATTGAGCTGTGAGACTTGAGCTTCAGATGGACTCTGCGATCTAAAAGGCTTATCTGTTGCTTTTCTCCTTCCCAGCGTCCCTCTCTTCATCGTCTCTCCAAGCTCTCATGCAGAGGTTCTGCAGTAGATTAGGTCTGATTTTCCATTATGCAAATTATTCCCTCCTTCCCAGCCCCCCCCCCACACTCGTCACTTAGCAATATTGAGGGATTGCTTTACCATTTGTACCAAAATGGACATGAAACAGCCAGGTTTTAGCAACGTGTATTATAACAAGCCTGTTTCCCTGCCTTCACGAATCACAAAGTCGAGAAAATTGTAAATTGTAACACTGTAAGAAAAAAGATGCTGTGTGATGCATCTATTATGGATGTCATTTTCTGCAAAGAAACTTTCCACCTGTTAATTGGATAAAAAGGAACTCAAACACTCAAGTAAATCTAGTGGTGGTAGATTACTATTCATTTAACCAGGAATTGATTGGAAGGGTTGATGGTGACCCAAAAACAAATAAATTCATAAGAAAATGAAATGTATATATAGTTAAAAGGTTTATATGCATGTCTTGGAAATACTGTAAATCCCACTGATTAAATCAATGAGGGCACAGATTGAAAGTAATCTTCAGACTGCCTCACATAAGAGGTTAGGTGGTCTTAAACAGGCTTAATCTCTCTCTCTCTCTCTCTCTCTCTCTCTCTCTCTCTCTCTCTCTCTCTCTCTCTCTCTCTCTATATATATATATATATATATATATATATATATATATATATATATATATATATATATATATGTATACTGTATATACTGTTGATTCAGATGTACCATATGATAAATCCAAGCTTTAGCAGTCTGCACAGTCAATCAGACTTTCCACCTACAGTCAACTAAGCTTTGTTTTGAACTTACAGAAGAGTAAAATCTATAAGCACAATAAGTATGTGTTTTTTTTATCAGCATGCATTCATAAACGCCCTACTCCTTGTTTACAATCATATTTTATCTTTTATCTTTATCTGTTTAACCCGGGCTGCTCTGTTTATCCCACAATATTTATGGTTGTGTCAGTAATCACAGCCCCAATATGTGATTAATATTTTTGTTGTCTTAAAATGTTAAACCCCTTTTGTGACAGGTATGCCACTCTTTGTCTATTCAACTTTTATGTTTACCGTAACCCCATTTAAAAAGACACTCTTTCAAAGCATGGTAGTACTTTGCATTTGCTTCATTTTATGTTTGGACCTTCTATTCATTCTGGCATGAACTTAATGTTGACCTGTGCCTGCCTGACAAAGGTTTGTCAGTGCTGAAATTACCCTAACTTGTGTAACATGTGCAACAAGTGGCATCACAGATTGTTGCACGGTGCAGATTTGAGCTTTTGCATTTCATTAACGCTTCCCGACAGCAGAGAGGTCATAATATATTGGGTGCTTTTTAAAACTTTATTAGGGTTAGGGTTATTATATAATTAGGGTCGTATATGGCCACAATCATGCCCAAAGTCTGCCCACTATCATCTTTTTTAGGATTAGGGTACACATATTCTCAGAAAGAATTCACCAATATCTCGCTGCTCCAACAAATAAGTGTTCATCCTCCTGAATTTTTCCACCGTCATGTTGCAGAAAGAAATGTCTACTAGATATATTCTTTATGTCCTTCGTGGCTGATAATAGGAGCACTGTAAACAGGCAGGGGGACATTTCCCCACTGGTTGGTGGGCTGTTTCTGGTCTTTGCTATACTGCACAGTTACTGCTGTGATTAAAGCCTGTGCAGCCCGAGTTGTGATAAGGATGCTTCCACCACAGTGAGGATTGACCGGTCGCTCAGGGACACATGCAGCAAAGCAGGGAAGTAACAGATGAGAAGCTGCCACACACTAATCCCATGCAGCTGCAGACCAACCACGGCTCTAAATGGTGACAATACGAAATAATACAAAAAGTTATAACTAATCTTTGATGTTTGAAAGGTGGGAATCCGGATCCGTGGCCAATCCCCAAACCAGGCTTTGGTTAGAAAACAGCCGCGCTTTACTTAATGTGAAGCCGACGTGGTGAGAAGAGCCGAGGCTTCAAACGCGGTTTTTGGCGCTTTCTTTGGAAATAGTTTTCTCAAGATCAAAGTGTGTCGAAATGGTTTTAGTATCAAGGGGAAGAAAAATATGACCTTTGTATGACCTGTTAAAACACATGTCAAGGCATTTAGGAACACGGAGGAAAAGGTACGATCATGTATTTTTAAGTAATGTAAAGACCTAGTAAGGAAAATACACGTCCCGCTCATATTTTACAGAAGAAAGTTGCTCCAACCCTGTAAAAAAAAAACAATGCAACATGTTCAAGATTACCTAATAAATGTAAGCATATGGTTTTGTTTTTGCAAAATGGGCTGCCTCACAAATTAGAAACAAATTTGAGTTGCTCAGTTTAAATCTGAAATCAGCTTACCTCAATCTCATTTTGCTTTTGTTGCTCCTTCTTGTGTGTAATGAGCTGCTGCCAAGCACAAGATCCAAAAGAGATACACGGCCGGAGGATTAAGGCGAAAACACAACAAACCACAGAGCAAGAGAACAAAAACATTTTTTTTATACAAAACAACAGCATATAAGAGTATGAAGTAGCTGATATGAGGAGCTTATTATGTCAAATGCAGTCGGGTTTCATTAAAATAAGTGGTTTCTATTGCAATAATGAAAAAACAACATCAACAAATACAGTATGAACATACCGTGCTGGCTGGTTGTTCGTGCTTGAGGAACATTTTATAATCCTTAATTTATAAAAGTAGATGCTCAAAAAAAGAATAAAGCAATTGAGTAATACATATACAGAACCATGAATAACTATCGATGTCTTTGTACATATCATCGTGTTGCACATGTATACATACATAAATATTAAAAAAGGAATGTTAATTGCTAATATACAATATAATTACATATATTATAATAATTATAATTACAAATATAATTACTTTTATTATGGTAAAAAACGGACATGTTATTGTACACGCAGACATGTGTGCCACCACTGTTAGATATACATATATATACATAAAAGATGACAATTTAGAAGATTTTGTATCTCATTTAAATTTGAAATGATTCAATAAAATCAGCCTTAACATTATGAGAATTGCAAATATTGTATTTTTGATTTGCCATTAAATTATTTACTATTTTACTGACAAGTGTTCATGTTATTGTGTCTACCCATTGTAGGTCTTGTCTTGAACTCCTTTGTATCTAAGATGCTTCCACATCAAAAACTGATATTACTCTTCTGGGCTTGTTGTACACTGATGCAATGCTGCCCTCTTATGGTCAACCTCAGATACTGCAGAGACCTCGTAATCTGTAGAAAGAATATGAAGTCTTTTGGAACATTATACTTAATGTTATGTGATATGTATATTCATCATTTAAAGTGTAAGTGACTCCTTGTGGCAATGCTATAAGTTGATATCTTATATCAATAATATATATTAAATTAACTCTGAAGTAATGAAATTCATTTAAAAATGTGATTGAAAGCACCATGTGCATTTTGTCTAAGAAATATAAACATATGTGTATCATGCAACACATTTATTGGGTCACTGCTCAGAAGGACGAAGAAGGTAGTGAGAGCACACAATACGAGTTGCAGGTACTGTAAGGATTGTGGCTCAGAACAAACCTTAAACCAAAGGCACCACATATGAAAGAAAGAAGCAGCAATCTGAGACGGTGGCAGGAATTTAGGCAGGCAGGTTCAGACAGGCTAAATCAATAAATCAAGAATGGAATGCCACAGCGTATATAGAACAAAATAATCTAGATTCTAGAGGATGTTTTATGGAAATGTACCTATACTGGGCTGATTAGGGGCAACGTACTTAAGCAGTTGATTAATTGGGCGGGGAAGATTAGGTTGTGAAAATTGAAATGAGTCACTAAAGGAAAGGAATGGTCAAATCTGGAATAACATGACAAGTGTAGTAACAGAGCAATGCAACAACATTAATGTTGTTCTGACTGGAGATTTGACTCAGTGACGTCACTGCTGAGGGCGGGCCGCAGGTGAAACTACGGAGCGCAACCAACCTCATCCGCTTGCTCGAAAAAGAGGCACCAACAACAAAAAAATAAGAAGACAGGTAGTACTTTAAACGAGTCTGTGCATGACATTTGTTTCCACAGGAACAAACACACCACACACACACACACACACACACACACACACACACACACACACACACACACACACACACACACACACACACACAACTTGCCCTCGCTCAGCAGCCGGCACACTGAAGGCTCCCACGCACGAGCGACTGTCCAGCCTGTGACGTAAGGGGGCGGGGCTCGCCGTGGGCTCGCCTGGTTTGGTGTGTGCCGGACTGCTCACTTCCTGGGCAGCTTGTATTGCCGTGGTGAATGTGGGGAGAGGGGCGGGAGAAAGAAACAGTGTTTGGAGACCAAGAGCGAAGGGGCGGCGGCGGCGGTGGTGGTGGTGGTGGTGCTGGGGGAGGGATGGGATGGAGGGAGGGAGTGACAGGGAAGCGGAACGACAGAAAGAAGAAAAGGGTTCGCTGTCTCCGGAGGAAAGTATTTTGAGGGGGGCCTCATTGCGCGAGGAAGCAAGCTAGGAGGCTAGCAGCGGCGCTAATGGCCCAGTCGGCTGCTAACGGTGTGGACCAGGACCCGGCCAGCAAGAGGCTGCCCTCGAGGTAGGACCCTGGGTCAGTGTTCTGCCCTTCAATGGCAGGGGAGTGGGCGGCCGAAGGGACAGAAAAGTGTGTGTGCGTGGGGGGTAACAGGGGCTTTTGCTTCCTGAGGAGGAGTCACTGGTTTTAGTTCAGAGCTCGAGACCGAGCCTCGTTTCCTGGCTGGGGTCATTGAGCTGCTGTGGCTGGAATGTGCAGACTGAAAGGAGCCTCGTCAAATGTGGACTTTGGAGAATTGTGTGCGTGTGTGTGTGGGTGCGTGTGCGTGCGTGTGCGCGTGGTTGGAAACATTCGCAGTTACACACACCTGTGTGTGCAAAGGTGTTGTGTGGGGAGGTAGATTTGTGTTGCAGCATCATTTCCCCACCTATATGCATACTTTAAGCCATACAGAGGTTCCCACTCATTTGTAAAGTTTCGCTCCTCACTATCTGTCTTATAACAGCTTTATAACATTTCCAATTAAGAGGAAGTTTATTTCTGATTGTCGATGTATTTTAGTTGATTCGATCGCCTTGACTAAAACAGTAATGAAAGCATCATATAGCATGCGTGTAACTGTGTAACATACCTTAAGCGAGCACATTTTCTGTGCTTCTTTTATTACTGAAATAACCAACATTTAACAGAACAGATGTTCACTTATTGCAAATCCTTTTTTGTATTTAAAGCCCAGAGTCTGACACAAAGCGGACGGCTGGGAATGTTCATAAGACTTGAGAGCTTTGACTTTCATAAAACCTTCAAGATTGTCCATGTCCCAAACATGCGCACACACACACCCACGTGTTCTTAACCCGTAGACTCAATTGATGACCTTTCTGCAATGAGGGATGTGTTTGTCTGTGTTTGTATGTTTGGTTTTTTTAGCAGGCAATGAAACACAGCCAAGGCTCGAAGGATATCATGTGCATAGTCAATCAACAAAGAACTACTCTACAGGGCTGCAGTTTTGTTGGTGATTCTGTGTATATTCCCATAAAATAATGACATGAAAGCAACTCTGAAATCAAGGTGATTGATTCTTTAAATTAAAATCCGGTGTGTGGACTGAGGCTAGTTAGACATGCTTATTTTTTTAATAACCTTTATCTTGGCTGAGAAGAGCAAAATACCCGATCTTAAATCAGCTATTGATCATTTGCAAAGTCTTAATTAACGAAAGGGGTGATAACATTATCTCATCATTAAAAGGATAAATAAATGCATGATACTGAAGATAAACACCTCATCACAGCCATGTCAGGTTCTTCACAGAGACCGAGTTGATGGGAATCACTGCTTATGATGTGAAATTAGAATTATTCTCTCCTTAATGTCATGTTAAATTCTCTCATTTTCTTTCAATGGGACCACATTACGAGTATGATTTTGACACATTGATATTGCTACAGACAAAACTGAGTTGAGAGAAACTTGAATCTCTGAAAATAAAAAACAAAATCGAGGTTCATAAGACAAAGGAGGAAAGTAAGACAAAGCTCTGCTTTTATTGAAAGAGACATGTGCTGCGAGAGGAAAAAAACATTCCTGGAGAGTTTCTCTTTGGTTGCCCTGACAACTGGCCGTGGCACTCTGTAATTATGGCTGGATTACTACTCTGAGCACAGAGTTTCTTAGCTAGGCCAAGAATAATGGGAAGTGTAATGTTGAACCATGAATAAATACGGAATAAGGACCGATTAAAAAGAAAACGTCTATAAATAATTTGCTTATTTTTCAGAGGAAATAAATTCCATTGAAATTCCATGGTCAAGATTTAATCGGCCAGCTGCCAGCTGTAAAATGTCGAGCACCGCAACTATTATTGTTTCATGATCTATTCATCTGCTGTTTAAAGCACATTTTTTAATGGCCCTTCAGCTACTTCCTCGAACTTAAGTGCCGGTTTCACATTACTCGTTCTGTGTGACTAACATTTCAGACCATATATAATACGTTTACAATGATGTAAAACACAATGCGGCTGCAGATCCGATGAAGCAAAGGACGGCGCAATAGTAATAAAAATGTAGTTCATTCATTTATCAATGGTTTTGTCTGTTAAGCTCTACATCCAAAGGTGATGTACTGTATTTTTAATAGCGCCTTGGATCACATTCAGCAGAGGAATCCATCTTTCACAGGGAGAGGAGGAGACAAGTCACAGTTCAGCTCACACACAAGCTCCCTTCTATCTCCCAAACTCCGTCCCTGAGACCTGTCCAACGGGCTCTGTGCTGTCACGCAAACAGCACTGGCAGACGGTGCCATTAAAGACCACGGGCAGGCTGCTGTGAGATGATTGTCTCCCAAACACACCAACAACAGTCCGTTCTTTACATGCCCGTGAATGTCTTTCTCACCACGTTGTTTTCTCTCTCTCTCTTGTGTCTGCCTTTCCGTCTTGTCAGTTAGCCCTCAAGCTAGCTCCCGCGCAGCTAACAATGTCGCCAAAAATACATCCCCTTTTCCACAATCTGCTTTACAACTCAGCCGTGGTTTACAGAGGGCCCCTGCACCATCTGCAGCTGGACTCGGTAACCTCGCGTCTTCCTCCTCATCTTCGACTTCCCTTTCTGCCGGCGCCTGTAGTCACCTGCCTCAACGTGACTCCCATCGCTCTCACGCTCCTACCGGCTGCACTGATGTCCCTGCAAAGCCTCCGCAGCAACCTTTCCAGTGGATAGACGCTCGGTCTCCATGCTACGCTAACATCTCAGTCCCCTCTTGCATTGTGTGCCGTGTCCGTGCTGTACTCCTCACCAATCGCGCACGTGCGATTCGGTCCCTTTTTGTTAATATCCTCCTTTCTTTGTCAGACGAAACCGATTTTGTGACAAGCAAAGGAGATGAAGGGAAGAAACACGTGCCTTACTTGCAGTCCATTCTGGGAGCCTCTTGCCGAAACCCTCAGGACGGATGGGGGGGGAGTTGAAGGGAGCCTCTAGCTGATGGTTTAACTCCCTTTGTTGTCTTGTACAGCGTAGATAGGATGGCTTAATCAGAAACACGTTTCCTCTGTGATCCGGTGATTTCAATGACCTTGTGCCTTTTACACGTGGCTTCCGCTACGAGGGCCTGCTCCACTTTGCCGTTGTCACTGAAGTGGCCTCGCCTCCGCTTCGCGGGCCCTCCTTCGGTGACTCGCCAGAAGCTATCAACGTTCCCGTCCCTTTTACCCGCTGAACGATTTTAGAGCCGGAGGGGTTTTCCCTTCGCCGCTCCAGATGTAATTGTTGCTATTTTGAGTCGAGGACGTTTGAAGGACTGATCTCCGCAGGGGCTCCAGTTCCATCAGCTTTTTGTAGTGATTACTCATCTGTTTTTAGGCCAGCGCGCCTAAAAGATGGAATGAGTCTCATCGCCAACATATTTATTATTTCTCTTAAAGTAAAAAATAAATTCCTTTTTTGATGTCACATTTTACTGATGCCTGAATGAATCTTTATTGTTATTGGTCACTTCTCTGGTGAGCTCTCATGACGGCCAGGGAGGGGGGGGGGGGCATTAGCTGCACATGGCAGAACAGACACACGATGCATTCAGGTACAGTAACCACAAATTGTCAGCTAGAAAAAAAAGGATGCGTTCAAGTGCTTCTTGCGCAATTGAAAGCTTTTGAAATTTTCCATTAGTTTGAAGTGAAAAACTGGCAATTACTTTCAAGATCATGTAGGCCGTGTGTCTTGTTGGAGTAGCCGTTATACATTATTTGTTGCAACAGATAAATGAACAAAAACAAAGGAAATGCGATAAAACGTCTGATTCATACATGTTTATTTTGAGTATTAATAATCCCTCTGAATGTGTGCGCTGGTTCTTTGTATTCATCAGTCCTTGACCTCTTCACTCACGGTCTCATTTGCCGTGGTCGGTGACCTACTAAGGTTTCTGCCAGAGTCAGCGGATAGTTGGATTAGACCGGGCCAATCGGCTCACTGAGTTGTCACTACCAAGGAAGTGCAGATCACTGGATTAGCAATTGTCTCGCTCTCTCTCTCTCATCCGTCCCCTCCGTCTCTCATTGGAGCAATGGTCCAGCTTAGAAGTATCGCGCTGGCTTTGTCGTCCTTGTATCCGCTCTTTCAAAGCCTTGTAGTGGAAAATCCAAACAATTGGAACTCGCTGCCACAGCCGAGGACAAGTGGAGGAGGAGGACACGGGAGGACATGTCTCTGTTTGGTTTTGGGAGAACCGATGGACATTACAAAAGGAATGAAATATGAACCGTTGAAATGTTTTTGCTAATAACCACAAGTCAGACTGGAAGTGCTCTTTTGTGGAATTTCCCACAGCTCGGCTCTGGGATCAGAGAGTTCATCGCCGAGTCTTTGGAGCGTTCTCCAAGCCTCAAGGAGCAGATGTGATTATCTTTATTGACTGCGTGGAGGAATTCCAGTCGGGTTGTGTCCAGCTGCAACACTGCTGACATTTTTTCCTTTTTTTTTTCAACGTGAATATTAGGTCATTCAGACTCTGAAACAGAGACATTTTCGCACTGCATCATCAATGATAAGTGCCCCCGCTCGGGCGGACCGTGTCACTCGTTTGCCTCATTGTCCCGTGATCCCTCGACCCTCAATGGCGTCCGAGCCTCGCCCCCTTACCGGGGCGGAGAGGGCCGTGTGCAGGCTGGTGCACCGCGGAGCGCGACCTCGAGCTGCGCTGAGGCCGCTGCACTTGGAGCTACGGGTGTACGTGGAGAAAACGCGAAGCGGGCGAAAACACAGGTGCTGCTCGCAGACCACAAACACGTAGGGGGGGAGGGGTGGGTGGGGTTTGTTGTCTCGGCTGAGCGCGGTTTTGCAAAATCAAATGACCCCGGCGTGCACATTGATTCTAGATCAGGACGAGTTGGGGGAAAGGTTGAACCAGGAGATAATATTGGTAATGTAAACAACTGTTGAATAGGTGCCTTCAGGCCTTGAAAGGATCCCACCGTCACAGTCACAGACATGTGTTTGGCAAGTAGTAAGACAGAAGACATTTGTATTTACATTTTGCTTTGACTACAAAAAAGGGAAACCAAAGGCAAAAGGCTTAAACTGAGTGAAATGTGCTTGATTCACTTTAAGATGACCGACGTTACATGGAATCTAAATAGTAGTTTGAGTGCAACTTATATGATGTGAACGTTCCAGTGTCCTTGATATCATCATGTATGATGGTGATTTGCAAATTGACATAAAGAAAAGGCAGCACAAGTGAATCAAATAAATATTCATTAAAAAAAGATTAAGATTTGGCACTGGCAAGTGGAGAATAACAGAGATTTATACTTAACAGGAGTGTAAATAAAGCAGTGAAGGATTTAGAGTGTTTCTTCAATGCATCCATAAAACAAATAGTCACTTTGAGTTTGTACTACAGCTGCAGATGAAACTATAGGTACTCAGTATCTCTACTTTTCTGTGGTGCCGTTTGTAAAAGAGATTAGATTTGAGGATAATCCTTCCTTTACTCTAAATTCTAGTAGTGTATCTGGAATTTAGAGCTTCGGCCAAGTCGGCTGGCCTTTAGTTTATCCTGGATTATGCAAAGAATTAGTGGTGTATACTTTCTGGATGCAACTCACTGACGAGGCGTAGTTATGAATGTGTGTGACTGAGTCTGTGTGTGTGTAAATTCTTGCAACGGACACACAGTACATTTATGGTTTGACACACACATGCATCAATGTTTTCGCCTCTCACTTAACTCCGTCTTTCTGATTTATTTGCAACTATACATCTATGTTTATTTATACAATTGAATGACGTTTGTTTTTTTATTTTTTTTTATTGAAATGTGTCCTATTAATTGACACAGAGATAACATGTCTTTAACAGTCCCTGAGTTAAAAATAAACAATAATAAATTGATGCAGCAGTTCCCATGGTGACCAAGGCATTGTAGAGTTGGAAGGAAGACTTCTTTTAATTTAGCCTTAAGCATATTTTTGGAAAAAGGGTTTTCTTCTATTATATGTCAGCTTAGCAGTGCAGGAGAGCAGAATTACATGTTTTGGACTCAATGTTTTTTCCTCCGCAATCAGAGAGCGATGAGCAATATCAGTTAATTGATTTGCATTTAATTGAAATCAATGAAAATTTAATTTGTGCAGTCAGCTTGATATAGTCCGCCCGTAAGGACAACTTAATGTCTTTTTAAATCCAACTCTACAAAACAAGCGGATATGAGCAGTAATGAGTGAAAAGTGCAACACCTTTTTCAAGGTGCTCATCCCTCAGCCTTGGACTCAGTTGCTAAGGCAACAGTCCATAGATTTGGCTATGGACCTTGTTGTCATGGAGATACTGGCAATTTGTCTCTCACCCTGAGAAGACATTGCACTGCCGCAAAGTATCAACATCACTATACAACTGTTAGTCTTTTTGTTTTACTCGCCCACATATAAGACAGCATAATATTCAATGATGATAAAACTAAAGCAGGAGTCAAGAAGCCGTGGGCTTTTAAACCCCCCCCACCCTCCCCCCTCATGGCTTAGGGAGAAAAAAAGAAAACTGTTCCATCTCTGATAGTGCTCAAATGTTGACAATGTTTTCTGCCCTTCCCTGAATGTATGAATGTATTCACGTCTTTACTCATATTGATGTGTTTGTGTGTGTACACCACTAAGGATGGAGGCCTCTTGCTTGGAGTTGGCCTTGGAAGGAGAGCGGCTGTGCAAGGCCGGGGACTTCAAGGGGGGGACAGCGTTCTTTGAGGCGGCCGTGCAGGTTGGCACAGAAGACCTGAAGACGCTTAGCGCCATCTACAGCCAGCTGGGCAATGCCTACTTCTACCTCAAAGAGTATGGCAAAGCCCTGGAATACCACAAACATGACCTTACTTTGGCCAGGTGAGCCGTGCTCCTTCTAATGGTAAAAGTTGAGTTGAGTTGCCAATACTGCTTTTGAGCTGGTCAAAGTATGAATTGTTGCATGTCATATAATACAAATGACCAAATTAGCCTTTAAAAGTGAGGTGTGCAATTTACAAACCATTGTGTTAAAAAATCTGCAATGTTTCCCTTTTAATTTCATTGTGAAAAGAGGCATTTTTATGGCGGCAAATCACTGTCAAAATTCGAGAGCGCAAATCAGGTTGATGATATTTTACAAATACGGACCGGTCTGAGAGCTGGACGCATTGCACTTAATGTGCCGGTAATGATGGTAAATGGTGGTTGTAGCTGGTTGTCATCTACGGCCCACTACGATTACCAAAGGGGGGCGTTTGTTTATTGACTTTTGCTCACGCGAGACGGACTTTTGCTCGCGGATGTTTGGTTTACGCGCTCGCATCAACCTGATTTGCGCTCTTGAATTTTGACAGTGATTTGCCGCCATACATTTTCCTCCAGTTTGATATTAGGTGTTTGAAATTTGACCTGCATTTTGCCTTTAAAAAACTCCTTTGTTGGAGAAACGCCTTTATAGCTTTATCCCAGCAATCCAACCCACATGAAACCCATAAGGAAAATCAAGTTTTCATGAAGCCTTGAACGCACACTTGTGCTTGTTTACTTCAGTGGCTTAAAGCACTTAACAAGCACTAAAACAGAGTGGCCAGCTCCGTATCCTCTTTGCAATTCAATGAGAAAACATGAATCCTCTTAGTATACGTCTGATGACATTACCAATAACGAAGCCGGGTTACAGCTATTCACGTCACAAGTCGTCCCATTTATGCATTCAGAGCTCTCTGTAGGGGGAATTACATAAGAATAATCCTGCCATTTGTCCAGACCAGATGCACAAAGAGCTTCAATGATGTTCAGTATATTAACATAGACAACTAAACAATGGAACATTCAAGGGGAAGTGAGTGGACTTTCTAAAAGCAACAATACCGGGCTGGATATTAAGCCTTCGTGAGCAAAGTGGTCCCCTGCAGGGAGTGCAGCTGGTTCTTCAGCAGGGAGCTAAACAAAGACCCCAGGAGGATTCACTTTGTTACGTTACAGACTCACCAGGGACCCTGGGACCCGCACCGATAAGTACTAAGTATAAGAACAGCACATGCTCATTAAATCTTTAACCCAACCTGAATGGATAATATATACATAAGATAGTATTTACATGGTAACAAAAGACTGTAGCGCCCATCACTGAATATCAGGAATGTGTCGTTTTGCTTTTTCCCAGAACGATAGGAGACAGAATTGGAGAAGGGAAAGCGAGCGGCAACCTGGGTAACACATTGAAAGTGTTGGGGCGTTTCGATGAGGCTGTGGTGTGCTGTCAGAGACACCTGGACATTTCTCAAGAGCAGAGAGACAAGGTAACACGCATGCTTTTATCATCATTTACATCATTATCTACAAACATCACATTCAGTTTGCTTCCATCAATTGTTGATTTGTTCATTAGACCTCATCAAAACTGAACCAATATTTGATATTATTTTCTTTACATGTATATGCTGTGTTTTATCTTTTTAGTTTATTTCTAAGCATCATAAGAGGTAAAATGTATCATCGATACTAATAATTGTCAAATTTTTAAGCGCAAACAATCATCTAGAAGCAAAAATAAATGTATCAATCACAGGAAAACGATTTCCCGTAAAGACACACATATCGCCCTTGGTATCTAGAGCTGCATCTTTAATTGTTGTGTCGTCTGATTGCAGGTTGGAGAGGCCAGAGCGCTGTACAACATAGGCAACGTGTTTCACGCAAAGGGGAAACAGCAGTTATGGGGCTGCACACAGGAACCAGGGGACCTGCCTCCGGATGTCAGAGACACTCTGCAAAGGGCTACTGGTTTTTATGAGTACGTATGGTTGACTAGTGAAGTCAAACACAGATTAATGTGTTATACAGAAGACCAAATTCCCACTCTTAGCTCAAGCGTGAGCATCACTGCAGTATGTGTTAAAGAACCTGTTGATGGATTTGGAACATTTGCTTTTACCAAAATAAAACAGAAACAGGAATCCTGTGACTAATTTGATCTGATGCAGAATAATATTTTCTCGAATTTGCCATTATTTATTTTCCCAACCCTCTCAGTCCTTGATGCTTCAGAATCCCTCCCTTTTGACGATGCGGTGATAGCCGGTATTTTAACGGAATTTCAGTTTTTTATATTTCATATGACCACTCTTTCTCTCGGTGTCACAAATGCCTTCTGTCCAACACCGGGTTCGTGCACGCCTCTCAAAGAGCGGTTCCATCAGGCCGATCTGCCTCATTGCCCCGTTTCCTTTGACAAGCTCCTCCCTCACAGCCGTAGAGCATCGCTGTCCGATCTGTCCTTGGATTTCTCATTCGGTGGACTAAAGGCTTTTGTGAAGGTTTTTTTCACCCTTAACGCTTTAAAAATATAATTTCCAGTTTCTAAGTTATCCACTTATTCTACATTTCTTTCTAAATTGTGGACCTCCAGTTGAATAAAAAACATTCAATCCAAGTGTTAAATACATTCTGATGGTTCACTGGACAAATCCGACAAAGCTCTCCAGGATTGTAAAGCAGGATGGTTCTGAAAAACAGCCGACACGTTAATAGTCGATTAGTAACGATGGAGCTGAGAACAGAGAAACAGAAACTGTCAGAGGAGAAGACTCATACGTGTATACATGATACATACTGCAGACTCAAAGAGTCATTTTTTGTTCCAAAAGCAAAACAAAACGCAGAAAGCGTTCATCGTGTAATCATACAACAACAACAACACCCATCATAACTAATCATAATGCAAATCCACCACTGTTTTACCAACAAGAAGTATATTCTAGGATTTTACATTTTATGTTAACGCTGATAGTTACACTCTATTTTAATATCATTTACATGCTGCCACTAAGTCGGTGTGTGCCTTCGTCTTTAGGATGAACCTGTGCCTGGTCAAAGAGGTCGGGGACCGAGCTGCTCAGGGGAGGGCCTACGGGAACCTGGGCAACACCCACTATCTGCTGGGGAACTTTGTCGAAGCTATCAAGTTCCACCGCCAGGTAAGAAATTCAAGACGTTGAGGCGCATTCATATTTTCACAACGCTAGACAAGAGTAATGGGTGTTGTTGTTGTTGCCAGAGCAGAGCAATGACCTTGCGTCGCCGCGTCAACAGCTTTATTGCGCTTCTGACACAAGGTCGTTCAGCTGACAGCTTTTCAGGAACTGTGCCCCTCCCCTATGTGTGTGTGCTTCTGTCACCCACTCCGAAAGCCAACAAGTGGATCACGTCCCCGGTGAAGAGGCGGCCCATTGAGCATTTGCCTCTCGTTGATAAAAGATCTTACCTAATTTGCTTTACAGAGACAGAATTTTTACATGCAAAAGGGCAGACTCGAGTACATAGGCGGTTTGAGAGTGAAGCAGGGACCTACTTGTGTCACTGTACTGTACCTGTTACCTTCTCGATTAGTAGCATTAGGGATAGAGGCTGAAGACAATACTGTGTTTCTATTTTTCTGAGTAAATAACACCTAAATAGGTAGATAATTGGTAAGCTTTCCAGTTGGTCACTGTCCACCTGACCCCGCAAGCACTGCAGTGCAGAGACTGATGATCTCCTATTGGAAAAGAAACAGAGGTAATTGGTTTCTTTGAGGGTCGGTCACAGCCGCCCCCCCCTGTGTTTCCTGTCACTCTTCATTGTAAACCACTTGCGTCCTCATGGGAGAAGCCGGCCTCTCGTCTGATCCCCATTACAAATGTAACAATGTGCCATGGAGGAGAGCACACTTCTTTTCAGAGGAGCCGATTGGATGCACCGATGCTGCTGCTGCTGCAGCACATCTCTTTCGTGGAAGTGTGAGCCCGACCAGGCAGGAACAGGACATTTCTGCTTGTACATTGAGTAAAATAAGAGGGGGAATTCGGGGCAAAGTAAGGTGAAATCACTTGAGTAGTCAATTTTTACAAATTAGCTGATACAAATAAGGGGCATGTTGTTGTGTGGATTTAGTTTGACTTGACCACTCTGCTCTGTCATTCACAGCGATTATCCATAGCCAAAGAATTTGGGGACAAAGCGGCCGAGAGGCGAGCCTACAGTAACCTCGGCAATGCCTTGATATTCCTTAGCCAGTTCAGCACGGCCACTGAATACTACAGGTGAGGAAGGAGGGGAGTCTGCCATCTAGTGGAGAGGAGGTGAAATGAAGCAATTTCAGAAAAAGTAAAAATAGGACTGAAGAACAAATTAAAACATGACAAAAACGTTCTAATATATGAATTACAATTTCCATAAGACAATATTTTCTCTTTCACCTTCCAAACTCTCGTACTCATCAATTTCTTTGTCTCTTTATTTTCCTAAAGGAAAACTTTGCAGCTGTCGAGGCAGCTGAGAGACCAGGTAATGGAGGCCCAGGCCTGTTACAGTCTCGGAAACACCTACACCCTTTTGCAGCAGTACGAGAGGGCCATAGACTATCACCTGAAACACCTGTACATAGCCCAGGAGCTCACTGATAGGTATGATGAGCAATAACTCCATCTACGCATGCGCAAAGACGCGCACACGAGCGAAGGATTCGTTTGCTCTCAACGTTTGTCCGTATGTTCACGTCTCATTAGAGTCGGCGAGGGCCGCGCATGCTGGAGTCTGGGGAACGCGTATGTGTCTCTACAGAACCACAAACAAGCTCTGCATTATGCCCGGAAGCATCTGGACATATCTAAAGAGGTGAGACTCCCATCAATTCCTTTAATGTAGTAAGTCTTCAAACTAATTTGACTCATCTGGCTCGATGTCTCTTAATTTCTTCCCCAGATTGGAGACAGAAATGGAGAACTGACGGCCAGGATGAATGTGGAGCAGCTGATGGAGGCTTTGGGGGTCAATGAGAGTGACCTTTCACCTTCTAGTTCAGAATTTGAGATGCAAGGTAACACCACAGATTATTTTTACCGTGTTATATAAGACATAACATGGTGAACGGTGAGCTTTAAAAGGTGCTGGCAGTCAGATCTTGTCACCTTTTAATAAACAGAGTCAGATAAGCTAGCTTTTCTCCCACTGTCTTTATGCTAAGCTAACTAGTTGCCGATTCACAAGTAACATACAGACATGAGTGCTCTTAATCTCTCTTGGTCATTCCCAAAAATGTTGTAATTTTTGTTTAAACAATAGCACATGCATACAAAGTCTAATTTAAGAGAACCGGGAGGGAACTGCATCTCCATTGGAAACGGAATTATACTTGAAAATTCTTATGTCAGTAAAAACTTTTTCCCATTTTCCTTATACTCAATAGTTCTAGATACTCTGACAAACAAACAAATCTATCTTAAAGGATGAAATAGTACATTTCAATAACTTTTTCTGTGACTGTTCACACTCAAAAAAGCCGGCCGGTTAGCGTGTGTGTGCATGTATTGCTGTTTGTGTGTTTGAATGTGCGTGTAAAAGTCTATTTTTCTCTGCAAACTGTGGCTAGAGGAAGATGTCCAGGAGCTTTAGTCGCTCTCCCATCTCACAGAAATAGAAACAAAAAATAAGATCAAGCTCAAGGACCTTGTTTATATTAATCATTTGAAATGTGATGGAGGGTTGAACAAATTATCTTAAAACTGCACTTCAGAGACTGTAGATGTATTTAGCAGTAGTTTCTGCACTTTTAACTATGCTGCACAAGAGAACTTGTGTGCTTGAACAAGCTAACCGGAATACTTGTGTGCACAAGGCGGCCATTTAAATTTAAATCCAACCTGGTGAGACTGAACCGAGGCCAAATCCAACATTTCACGAACATTCTTGACTTTGACCCCCCGTCTCGATCACAGTTTGTTGTCAACATTGTAAAAAAAAAAGAATTACTGTTATTATAAATTACCTCCATCTTGGTAGGGAGCATTTGATTCATATTAAATAAAGCGGTCCGGTCTTCATGCTGAACAGTCTGCCTGGTTTTCGTGTTACAATCATGCACCCTCCTCCGGGCAGAGGCTGACACCCGGAGCTGGCAAACAGACTCCCATGCAGATTTCTTTGGTTGTCTACGTAAACCTCACCTGCACACCGAGCATCACGGGGCCGCGGCTGAACCAGGAACAAAACAAAGAGCATCTTTCATGCTTGATATCCTTTAATGGCGAAAAGTTTGAAGGATCCCTCAGTTCAAGTTGTTTTAATGTTATTTATTTATTTTTACTGTAGGAGCAAGACCCAAATTCACCAAGCGAAACAGCATGGACAGCGTGGAGCTGTGGAAGTACTCTTCAGATAAGGTGAACATCTCCCTCACACGTGTGCGGCTCAAACACGTCCACCCGAAAACGCATCAATCCCGCTCTTACAATACGTTCTTTCACCGCAGAATGAAGAGAACCAAGACCTGGAGCGTATCCCCAGGAGATCCAAGAGTCACGTGTCACAGCCAGGCAAAAGAAAAGGCTACCCAGACAGTCAGTCATCGGATGACAGGCCGTGGTTGGACTCTCCGCTAGACGCCGATGACATCACTGTGCAAGTCCCACCTCCAGTGGCAGTGAGTCGCTGCAGTTTATTTTATTGTTAGCTGCTTACTTTGAGCAGAGTTTGCCCTTCAAGACCTCCCCTTGTTTCCACTTTATGCTAAGCTAGGCTAACCGGCGACGAGTAGCGGCCACCGCATTTTTACAATGACCCGTGCTGTGAAAAAAATACTTTTTCACATTGTTTAATAATTTGCAACTGATGTATAATTGAAACCCGCGATTATTAAATCTAAGTTTTGCGCTTTCCGACAGCACTCATCACCGCACTCGTAACGCAGTGTCAAGTTTTTAGAATTGGTAAAATTCTAGATTTTTGAGACCTGGTTTAAAAACCCTGTGTCTATTTTCTTAAAGACAACAAACCAGAATAATGCAGAGGCTCTACATTTTATTTCTAAGCATCCTATCAAGATGTGCCATAACTGGCGCTAGTTCCCTTCTGCAGTAAATTTAAGCATTTTAATAACTGAGGGCCCAGCGGAGAAAAGACGGGTTTCATTTTTCTCATCGAGGGGACTGAAATGCTGACTGCAGAATCCACCTAAATACCCTTTCCCTTCTTGTCTGTTCATCCCCTGTCCAAAACGTCTTCAGGGCTTCTGCTTTAAAGAGAAAATGAGAGAAATTATAAGGATTCAAATGGGAACACTTCCCTTAATTTCCCATGAGGTTCTACGGTATTATGTTTGAAGTCAGATACAGTGTGTAAAAGGTTTCTTCTCATTAAATGTCAGCAGCGCTCCATTTGCTCTAAAATAGATCCGTAATGAATAAGCCGCTTCCCAGCTGTTGTATCTTACCAATCCTGTGCACCTAATAATGCCTTGCTTCTGTGACAGTGCTAATGGTTGTAATCAGCCAGCTGACATACTAGAAAGGAGCACAAATTACTGGGATGAGTGATGATAGTTCATCAGAAGGGACTGGGCAGCTAAATGTTGGTAATCCCGGTGACTTTGAAGCACAGCACGTCTTAATCCTTTAAAGCCAGCTGTGTGTCTTTAACCTAGAATTCAGGATTCTATCTTATTATTCTTTGGGGCAGATAAAAGAATAATTATCACGGTAACTTCATGGTAAAGCATCAAATGATTAGTTTATTTCTCAGAATTAAGTCCAGCTGAAATCATATCCCGTTGCAACAACCAAGACGCCGCTAAAATGGACAATGTGGATTAATAGGACATTATTATTAGAAATCCACACAGAGATCACGGGGGGCAAGGACAGAAGCTGCTACGAGTCACATCTGATTAGTGAGCAAAGAGCGAATAAATCTCAATCCCACGGGTGGATTTCACTGTGCAGGTTTATCACAGTGCTGCAGTTGTTGCTTCATGTCATTGGATCTCTGCTGGCTGCCGCTGTTGGCATCGATGTCCCTCTGACTGTACCCGTGCAGCCCATCTTTCCAGACCCCCACCCTGTCCCTTTCTCCCCTCCTCCCACTTGTTCGCCCCCCTAGCTCACCCCTGTGGTGATAATGTGACCTTGATCACAGGGCCTGCAACTCTCTCCTCAGGGTCAACAAGCCCTCCCCCCCCTCCTCCCCCTGCTTCCCATAATGAGTTGTTTTCCCACAGTGGGTGAACAGGATAGAAAATGTCCTGCAGGAGGGCCGCAGAGAGAGAGAGAGAGAGAGAGAGAGAGGGAGAGGGAGAGAGAGGGTGACAAATTGGATGGTTGAGATTAAAGGGAGGCTGGAACAGAGGGACACAACAGGAGAGGAGATTTTGAGGACGGTAGGCGAGTGCGACGAGGGAGCAAAGAGAGAAGCAGTGAAGTGGTGGGTGAACGTGGGGGAGACAGAGGTGTGAGTCAGGCGCCAGGCCAGAGCGAGAGGGGAAAGGGAGCTCAGAGAGGAATAAGTGTTGCTGGTAAGATGTTTCATTTACACCTCGAACAAAATAACGATGTTTCTTTTAGATCTTTGCCACACGTGATTGTCTGTGCAAGTATGTGTACTTTCTTCTACTTTCAGGGAGTTGATGCAGTGAAAGGAAAGAACCTGATATGCTAAACAGTAAAAGCTCAGTTGTATTTGAAGGTTTTTAATAGAAAAAGAGTAAAGGGGGAGAAAATATTGCCAGAAGAGAGGTGGGTGAAATCAGCTGTTTTCCGACGCTGACCTACTTCCCATGTCGCCGCAGGGCGAAGTGAATTTAACTTTGTTTGGTCCGCTAGCGAGTGCTGCCGCAATCCTCTTCTGGCTCGTCTCGTATTGTCGTTGTAAACTGTGAATGTTTATTGGGTAGTTTTGTTAAGACAGAATGAGAGCGCGAGCAGTTACGACGAGTCCTCATCCGTCGCTGGTTTAGTTCGTTCACCTTTAGTCAGTTTAAGAAAAAAAACATATTTAATTACAGAATTATATACAAACTCACCCGCATAATTCCCTTCAATGTTTTGACTAATTTAAGTCTTATTTTTAACATCATGTTCATCATTTCAACATTTGATATAGTGTATCTAGTAATCTAGTATTCAGTCTAGAGATTTGCTCACAATTGAGATGCTTGGGGTAGAAAATAGCTATTTAAAATATTCAAATACTTTTTATTATTGATGTTTTACTCTTTGAGTTTATACTCCTTTTATATTTTGAATGTGTGTGTTGTTGCAAACTCATCAGCCACAATGTGTCACTGGACGGGTCGTTGAGTACGATGTGAGAGCCCCTCGTCGCTGTGGGGATGTCACACATTAATAGTGTTCAGTCACTCAGGGATTGAATTATTCACCGTCTGATTGTCGATTGCCGGGTTGTATTTAGTTGGTATCTAACAATCACACTTTTTGTGGGAAAGTTTTAACCCTTTTCTTTGGTCAATAACCGAAATAGACAAAAGAAATATAACAAGAAACAGTACAACTACTACAATGTGGCACTACATGCATATATATTTAAGTGAAATGATTAACATGCTCATTTGCAGCTACAGCTGTATCATCTGTTTCTGCAGGGTGTCACTAGGTGGGCCATTCGACTTAAATACAAACGTTTTTTTATCTTTCCATGACAATTAATGACATTGAACCACCTTGAGTATCTAGGACAAAGCCGGCCATGTGAGTTAATGAGATCATTTATCTCGCCCACGTGCTGGCCGCCTCGAAAACCCTCATCGCCATCAGGCAGCCCATGCGCGTCCTATTACTGCCGTCTAGGAACGGTTCAACACAGTCAGCGATTCCGGCGAAATCAGAGACCAGCTTGGAAATGTGGCCGAATTTCTCCTTTAAAATCGGTTTCTCACTCCGTTGCTGCCCGACGACAAGAATGTTTTACCCACGTGTCGTTTTTTTTCCCCTCCCAGAAGCTGGGCCGTGACCCGTCCGATGAAGACTGCTTCTTCGACCTCCTCAGCAAGTTCCAGAGCAGCCGCATGGACGACCAGCGCTGCCACCTCGATGAGCCGCAGAACGGAGAGAGCGGAGGAGGCGCCGCGAACGCCGTGCTCTCCCTGAACGAGATAACAGGTCGGTGGAAGAACGGTCTTCCCGCGCGTGTCGGGTCTTTTCACGTGTGCTGCTTTAAAGGACGGAACTGACTCCTCTCTTTTCCTCCCAGATCCCGCGATCACCACCTCCCCTCAGACCGAGGAGCTGTTCGATTTGATCGCCAGCTCCCAGAGCCGCCGTCTGGACGACCAGCGGGTTAATGTCGGCAACCTACCGGGACTGAGGATCACGCACAACAATCTGGGACACCTGGTGGGCGAGGGAGACCATCAGGAGCCCAGCGACGACTTCTTCAACATGCTCATCAAGTGCCAGGTGAGGCCACAACTCGCACGATGAAGCTTCGAGGGTCTGCTCCTCTTTGGTTCCTGAACACGACTCCTATAATCTGAGATTGGTGTTCAAGGAATCAAAAGGTAATTCCCAGGGTACCGTCATGCCGCAGCGTTGCGTCCCATTCTGCTTTTTTCCGGCACTCTGAATGGGTCCATCTCTCTGACCGTAGTCCTCTAGGATCGATGATCAGCGGTGCTCCCCGCCAGAAGCGGGCCCTCACGCCCCCACAGTGCCTGATGAGGACTTCTTCAGTCTAATCCAGAGGGTGCAGGCCAAGCGCATGGACGAGCAGCGCGTGCAGCTGCCCTCAGACGAGCAGGACGACCCCCAGTCCCCCGACGCTGAGCCGCCTGCTGGTTTTCCCAGCTAGGACTTGGGGAATTATGCTGCATAACTTCACGTCAAAGAAGATCGAAAGAGGGATGAGGCAACGTTTGAAAAAAAACGGCACTTGAAGGGTGAACTAACAAGATTTTTATTAACAAGACAAATTCCATGTGCAATAGGTGGTGTCAAATGTTGCTCGGTGTGTTATGTTCCGAATGTGTGTTGCTATTAGGGGGAAGCAAGCAGGGTTTGAGCTTGATGGTGTGGGAGGTAAATACATTTGGGATTACATGAGACAAACATGAAACAATGAACTCAATCTATTGCCTTAATCAGCATTTTTTTTTTTCAGACCCAAGATTGTATTCCCTGCTGTCAGACGTGTTCCGTAGAGGCGAACGATGAGCCGTCAGTTTAAAATGGACGATCAATGAGCAGCATGAGTCGTGGGAATCATAAAGATATAATGATAGTAACTGTGTCGGTGAAAAACATCAGAGAAATCACAGGTTTGCTCTAAAATATCAACTTGTTTTATAAAGAGATGAAATATTGTGTATATACAAACTATCTTTATGAAACTAGTTGACCTCTGATCAATGGTGCTTTTTCATTCCATTGTTATGGTTCCCACTGCTCATAGATCACTGGTGTTAGTTGTGCAGCAACAGTATTAGGGATTATCATCCAGTGAAACTGTCTTGGTCAGTTTAAACTCAAAAAAAGTAATAGGATTCCTTTATATTGGCAGACTGAGTGAAATATGATTTCCCAGATGAATGTTATTTATGTGCATTTCCGCTTCAGTCGTGTAAAAATGCCTTTCCTCACACAGTATGCGGTAACCACGGTTACCGAGCAAACAATGTGACATAGCCGCTTCCTTTTATCGCGAATAGAGTTGTGGTTCAAGCTCCAGTTACGTGTTTCTGCTTAGCTCTGAAAGTTATGCAATCCGCTGCCAGTACTGCCCGACAACAGGCTGCTTCTTACTGCCATTATTATCTTCACTTAACATAGATATAGAAGCGGATGGACAAGACGGATGTGTCATATTTTGATTGGTCTAATAGCATAAACAATATTGAAGCACTACTAGTGTGCTGCCTCCCTCTGTGACATCATTAGCATAGGACTATTGTCTGATTCTGAACGCGTTCCTCTTATTTCAGCAACAGTGTTGCGCCATGCAGAGATGTTTCCCAATCATCTCTGCAAAGGTCTGGAGGGTGTCACTTCAAATAAGTGTGTATTTCTATATATTCTGCGCCATGCAAGTTGAGCAGGAGCGGTAGAAACTGCAGAAAGTACACTTGAATCGGCCAAGAGTTTGAAACCCTTCGCTGTGAAAAGCATCTGTGTAATGGTACAAAAAGAGGTTGACCTTTGCCGATGGGCCTTTGTTTGATTTTTCTCACGTAGTGCTTACCTCACTTTTTGTACCTTAAAGCTCATGTTCTGAACCAGAATGGACCATGTACCAAGTTCAAAGTAATTGTGTTTGATTCATCTAGCTTTGATAAATAATGCATTGGGAACGTAAATATTAAGTAAATATTTTCTTTTCATTTTTTGTTTTTGTGAATTAACATTTTTTAGAAATTATTTGGTACACTTACATTTGTCGTTGCCATAATTTGTACATATAAATATATTTTGTATTTATGTTCCATATGAGGACATGAATATGTCCCCTCATGCTTTTAATAAAATGTTTCAGATGTTTTTTTGCATTCTATTTATTTTTGTATAATAATGAACAGCCATTACAGCATCATGTATGTAGGCATGCATTCATCTTTTTTAACTCAAGGAAATGACACGAGCAATACTGACCTCTATAGCATAGTCATATCAGCACATTTGGAACGTTGGAAAATAAATGGATTTGCTCAAACTCTAATCTGTAGAACAAAGTAGACCTTGGTTTACGTCCAGTTTGGTCATTTGTTATATTAACACTTATTCTGCCTGAAGATAGTCAAATTCAGTGTCTAATTTATTTCAATTCTGTCCAAATACTCACTCATTTGTCATTATTTGACTTATTATTTTTCATGTATTATTATTGTTTGACTTATAATGACTTAATCGATAATTAGTTTTCTGTCAATGAAACAACTCCTGGCTCCTAGAATGACTAAAAACGTGCCGTGACATCATATTCCTCCTTTCCATAAGAGCCAAACAAGCGTCGCATGGTTAATGTAAAATGTAAAACAACGTGCACGGCTAAAGACTCGCTGGCCTTCTCTTCCGTCTCCCGCCTCCTCCTCTTGTCCATCAGCACGTCTCCACCTTGCAGCCATTCTCTCACTCTCTCCTACCCAGAATGCAACGCCAGCTGAGCAGGATCAGCTGAGCTATAAAAAGGCATCGCAAAGGGGGCGGGAGGGCCGCCGTGCAGAAGGACTTGTGCAGACACGCACGCGCGTACACGCACCGCACCGCACGCACACGGGGATCCGGGGACTGCGGCCCCTTCACTGGGATCCGGAGACACGGCGGGACAGAGAGGTCAGTACAGAGGACAAAGGCTCCGCGGAGGAGACGCGGAGAGACAGGGACCGGAGTGCGACTGTCAGAGGGAGCGACACACGGAGACGTGTGTGTGCGTGTGTGTGTGTGTGTGTGTGTGTGTTGACAGCTATTATCGGGATGTAACTAAACTGTCATCGGGTGTCTGGAGCCTCTCGTGTAAAACGGTTGACGTTGTCCAACAGAGGGACTGCGGAGATGTCCTCTGTGAGGCAATGCCGTCATTGGTTTTCGCTGTGTTCCCGAGGACATTTCATTGCAGATGGTTTCGCCTTCGCCCTCCCAACAACATGTTTATCCTCCACTCGTTTAACGGCCAGCCGTTTCATTCCGCTGGTCCCGGTACCGGCCCGTTAACGACGGGTCAGTGGCTGAGTGCTATTGATTCTTGTCAGTGGCCGGGACCCATTAAAAAGTCCCCAGCAGCCCCAGCAGACGGGGACAGGGCTGGCTTGTTCCTTCCTTTCAGGGACATAATGGAATACCCCCCCCCCCCCCCCGCACTGACGTCACAGGGTCCCCCCCGTGTCCCCTTAAAGGGACAGTACGCTCCGTTCGTTTGCAGAGATACTGCGCTTATTGATCACGTGCTCGTTACTTGGGTTTATTATATCGGGTTCATTCACAACAAAGAGTATAAGAATCTTCTCTCCCCCCCGTCTCTTGTGGGAAGAGGTGCCGCGCGTTGTGATTTAAAAGCTAGCGTGTTTTTTCGCGGGTCCAAACAGAAAAACCCCGCCAATATGACTTTTTGCGGTGTTGGCGGGGGGGGCTGGCATTTGGATTCGAGGGTCTCCACATTTCAAGTCACGGGTAGAATTACGATAATCACGTTGAAATGCTCTCCATATTAAATGTTTTATTGTGCACAAACAGCGCACTCAGTCCCATGATACCATGTTAATTCTACAGTGAGAGATTCATAAATTGATTACTGGAAATGGAAGCAACATGGACCTGATCTTACAAAGTCGAGTTCAAACATGTTGCCACATCGAACTCCAGTACTGATACCGATCTACCACAACCGTACAGTTCGCTCCACAACTTCATGCAGTTTTGAATGCACACACACACACACACACACACACACACACACACACACACACACACACCGAGAGCCATGTAATGGTAATTGCACTCGGTTAGAACCAGAACTCCTGAGCCACAGAAAAAGGGGACCCACAAGACGGGACCATAATAGGCCATAGAGGGACTCCCAATCAGACTCGGTTGCCAACTCCGGTGTCATCCTGGCGGTGACATTTACACGGACCAGACGGTTAAAAGGTCATAGAACTGGACACATGAGAAGCAGCAGCTGGCGCTGGGGAGTGTTGCATGTGCGAATCAGAGAACAACCCGCTAGCATTTGGTGAACTATGCTTAGAGAAATCACTTAATTGCGAACTATGTAATGTGCGTAAGTCATCAGGACCATGTTCAGTGTAATACAACTCCCTGTTCCCTCTCCAGCTGCAGTCCAGCTGCAGGGAGAATACTCACCCGTTTTGTTTGTCAATCTGGCACGTGACAGATTTGTTCAAAAAGCACGTATGTGGCAGTGAACAAACAGCCACGTTTGTCGCCAGGCCAAATTCAAGTCTGGTTTTAATCTAATCTATTGTCACACTCCCTGTTTGTACCTAGTAGGGTAGTGCTAAGACAAACATGCCGGGTGTAGAATAGACTTGATAATAAATCTAAAAATCCCACTGTGATGCTTAAATTGTTTTAATACTGCACAAACTGCATGCAATGTGTTCTTTCCTCCCTGGTGACCATGCAACCCAAGACGTCGGGCCCTTTCCCCCCGACTGTCACAAATCTGCATTCACAAAACTCAGACCTGCAACTTCTCAGGTTACTTGATGAACATGTGTTTCAAGATTGATGCAACCCGCTGGGCGAACCGGAATGGTTACTGCAGGGTGAATAGAGCTATTGGCCTAGTATGCAATCCGCACATTTCAGATTTACAGGTGACATACGTTGAAATTCGAAACTTGAGAGCACAATTTCGGCTGAGGCGTCGTCATATTCGGCCTGCACGATGTCTTGGTGTAGTCGCCGCAGACGGAGGCTTAGCGTGGTGCTTATTTTGGAATATAGGCACCACCTGTTGAGCCAAATCTCAAAAGTTATTTAAAGTCACTTCTTTCAAACACTCTCATCATCAACCACGGGCACATGGGCACATGGCAAGCACTTGGTGAAGGTTTCTATTTACACATGCCGGCCCCAATGACTCCCTCGGTCGCCTCCTCCCTCGGACGAGACGTGTAAACAGGAAATCACGCGGCATTTGTCCTTCTGAGATATGTCCAGTAGTGTTAACACGGAATTAACAGGCACCTCCTGTCTCGATCGGATTTGGATTTGGATGCGTTTAATCAGTGTTGAGACACATTGGAAAAGCTGCCCGGTATTAATGTGCTCTCTGTAAGCGGAGTGAGGCCACATCGGTAAGTCTCTATTAATAAAACAATTACTCACGGCTCCAGTTCTAAAAAATGCTTTTATGTTTGTACGGCGTAAGCTGCTGTGTTAGTGCTTCAGTATTACATGACACAAAGGGCCATTGAGCTTTTTGACTTAGTTACATGGACCCCAAAAATACAGAAAGTTGATCTGTACAGACTCTGAATGTAAATACAAATATCTGCTGCATTGCATTCACTTATTTGCTCTTCTTTTTCCTTTTCTGTCTTTTAGTTGAAGGAAAATATTCATCCAACGTGACAAAATGGCAGGTAATTAATAAATCATGTAGGAGGTGATGAGTGATTAATGATGTACTGAGTTAAGGAAAAGCCCACGCAGACTTTTTGTAATATCTTAGACTCTACTGCCCTCTTGTGGTGGTTTTCTACATCACAGTGTAGTTTCCAATTTTGTATTTTATGACGCTACTATGACACTTAGACATGATATTTGTTTGAAAAAAGTGTTATGACAACACATTTAATTAATAACAAAACGTTGGATGATTTAGATAACTACAGAATATAGCTGTACACATCATCATATACAGGTCAGATTATAGAAAACGTTTTGTTGTTTTTCGGTTTCACTTTCAACTTATAAGTCACATATTCCCTGTTCCTTGTAGACAGTTGTGCCTGATTTGAATAGCATTAGGGGACAACAGTTACCATAGCAACACTGTTTGGGTAAGTAGCATTCCAGCACAGTCAAAGCAGGCTAGAGGACCCGGGAAACACTGTAATTCAACTCAGAATGAGTTCCATATGTACAGCTGATTCAACTCAAGTCCAGTCCTCCACATTTGACCGTCGAGATGGTTCGTTCCAAAATGAATTACTCGTGAATTTTGTTTTGTTTGTTTGGAGGAAAAAAACGCTGAACTCAGATGTGTTGTGTTTTTGTATTACGCTCGTTTCAGACAAAATTAAAGATGCAAAGATCATCTTTGTTGTGGGTGAGTAGCCTTAACATCACGGCAGCATTTTTGCCACATTTAGCAACAAAACACATTGAAATACTGCTAAAAAACAACAACAACAACCCCACCGCCACTCTCCCTTTGTGCTACACCACGGCTAACCGTCCGTCTCCTCCAGGTGGGCCCGGCTCAGGAAAGGGCACCCAGTGTGAGAAGGTAGTGGCAAAGTACGGCTACACCCACCTGTCGTCTGGGGATCTGCTCCGCGCAGAAGTGGCTTCGGGCTCCGAGAGGGGGAAGCAGCTCCAGGCCATCATGCAGAAGGGAGAGCTGGTGCCCCTGGTAAGAGAGGAAGGGGGGGACACTCCTGCATTCACTTCACAAGAGTTTAAAAACGCTCCGTTTCTGCTGATATCATAGAGGTGATTAGTCAACTTGATGTACGATCCTTTAGGAGGATGTAGTTCGTGGTGCCGTTTAACTGTAACACACGTGGAGGCGCTTTTGTTATTTAGCGCTCTCTCCTTGATATTAATCGGGAGGAACTGTAATAAACAAGCAACCCAGTGTATTTTCCATCAGAAGAGGCGTGTTATTGCGAAGGTCGATCGTAATGCTCTGGCTCCGTTTTCAGGACACGGTCTTAGACATGATTAAGGACGCCATGATCGCCAAGGCCGACGTGTCCAGGGCTACCTTATTGATGGCTACCCCCGAGAGGTGAAGCAGGGCGAGGAGTTCGAGAAGAAGGTACGGCCGAGGAGCAGGCTGGAGGTTTTTGCTCTGTAACGCATCCCCAGCAGAACACATAAAAAACAAACAAAAAAGGAAACTTATCTTCTCATCTACCCCAGATCGGCAAACCCTGCCTGCTGCTGTACGTGGACGCAAAAGGAGAGACCATGGTCAAGAGGCTCATGAAGCGCGGCGAGACCAGTGGGCGTTCCGACGACAACGAGGAGACCATCAAGAAGCGCCTGGACCTGTACTACAAAGCCACCGAGCCGGTCATCGCCTTCTACGAGAGCCGCGGCATCGTCAGGAAGGTGCGTTACGCCCGGGTTTGCATTTGAACGTGCGCGGTTTGGAACATCTAAACGTGTACTCTGTTGATCTCCAGGTCGACTCTGAGCTCCCGGTGGATGAGGTCTTCAACCAAGTCTCCAAGGCGATTGATGCACTGAAGTAAAGCAACATAACTAGATCAGCTGTGTCCTGTTGTTGTTGTTGTTTTTTAAATTTATTTTTTATCAGTAGAACTTTCATACCGGCACATCACGACTAATTTAATACTCATTTTTGGTCAAAGGAAACAAAATGATTGAGGAATTAATCTGCTTGAAGCAGCATTGGAAAATCCATTTGTGTCTATAAGTACACTTTCTGTTCTGTGCCAAGCAGAGGAAACTGTGTACAGACGGACCGTAAAGACACCCTGATCACGCTGTGATCACCTTTTTACACGATCTTACTTCCATCTTTAACCCGACCGGATAGAGGCAGCGTTCACGGGAAAGCAATAGTCACTCAGCAACAGCAGAGATCAACTACTGTGGGCCGACTGTGTACATTTACAATCACAGCACTTCGAGATGTGCTTTTCTCAAACACAATGCATTATTTTCTATTAATCCATTTATAGCAACATTCAAAGCAGAGAAATATATATATTTTTCATCAAGATGCGCACATGTAAAATAGTGGTGTACAATGTGGTGTATGTAAAAAAAAAAGGTAAAAAAGAAAATTAAAAGACATGAAAAAAACAATATTACCTGAATTAGTTTACTAGCTGCTGCTGTGTTTTGTAATAGATGCATTTTCTCTCCCCAGGCAGTCTTATATTTCTACACTATTTCACCGCGGGCCGACTGACAATAGAAGTAGTCCTGGACAAGCACGTACACAAACACATCAAAGGCTGAAAGGAAAAACGCTTTGCTATTCACGCGACACGGCCAAGGTGCTGCAGCAAGTAGACACAACAGGATGCCGGACACGCTGCGAAATCCACTGTTCACTTCGGTTCTAATAACATTTCCTTTGAGCCCATGATGACCAGCATGTCTTCCTTTACCTATCACCTTCCTCACACACACACACACACACACACTTGCAGCTAGCCAAGCAAACACGGCAACAGGTATCCGGTGTATCCTCAAAGGAGAGCTCTGCTCGTTGTTGCACTGTGGGGATGAGGAAGAGGAAGAGGAAGACTGCTCCAGAAAGGGGGACAGGATGTGTCCATCGGAAAGTCAATCAAGAGAAAAAAGGCGTCGGTGAGCACTTTCATAAAGCCATAGAGGATGCTGCTTGAATGCTAGGAATGCTGCATTTTTACCTCATGACAAGGTACAAAGCACAGAGGAGGAAAGGAGATGGCGGTCACGTAGCACGGGGAGAAAGAAATGACAAGACGCATGTCTGCGAATGGAGGCGGCGGAGGGCTGTGACGTACCATGTGGGTATACTTAGTTCTGCAGGACTTTCAAATTCTCCAAATGATCATCTGAGCATCGTTAAATCAAAATTAAGCCAAAATATGAAGGAATAATAGAGGAACAATAAAGGGTCGGGACAGTGTGATAACTTTTAGATCTTCCAAAAATAGTAGATGATCAGTGCATTTTACATTTTGGAATGGAACTGTCAACCGTAGATGTTTAAGGCGAGGCAGCTTTATTTGTCTGGCACATTTCAACCACGAGGCAATTCAAAGCGCTTCACATAAAAGTATTACAAGCCCCAAAACATAAGGCAAAAGAAAAGGACATTAAAAAACAAATAAGAACATTGATTGAAACATTAAAACATTAAACAAGCTAACAAATAGAATAAAAGTTGCATGACAGTTTCACAAACAACTGGACCGATATCGTCAAACAACCCAGATTTATATAAATAAGTTACAACAAATGAATTCACTCTATTGTCAGAGTTAAAGGTTAAATCTTTGAAATTTGTTCAAAAGGTCATTTGAAAACGTAACCCTCCATGAGAAGCTTCGAGGCAGATAATAGCAACCTAAAAAAAGAAGCTACAGAAACGTGTGCGCTTACTGTCGCTGCAGAGTCTGAGATTATTACTGTGGTATGCGTTACGGCTGCAGAACATATGCGCACGCACACACACACACACACACACACACACACACACACACAGCAGAAACCAAAGCATTGTGTAAGACGTACAAAAATAAAGAAAAACAGAACCTTGAAATATTTATGAGTTAGAAAGGCTGCTAGGAATACTTGTACTTCTTTATGCAGTGTCTTATGGGAATGATCCGGGCTACCAGTGAGCCATCCATCCAAGGGGCGGAGGCACATTCACAGCTTGAAACACGGCTGCTTTACTGACACAAAAATCCCTTTTTAGCCTGTCAGGGACAATTACACGCGGCGTTGTGGCCCCCGTGTAAAATAAGCCGGGGGACCAGCCACTTATGACGTTACGCCGGCTGCTTTTAGTTTTGACGAGTTATGAAAAAAAACATAAAAAGCAGCTTTAAATGACTCTGCAGGGGCCGACAGACACCTCCATTCATCCAGGTTCGGCCTCTAATATTACAGCTGCAAGAGATGGTGTCAGTTTCTTAGCCACCCCACCATCCCAGGGGGCCCCCCACCGGAGGACGATAAGAAAACGAGTCATCTGGCACATACTCTTTATTCTTCTGTCCCTCCTTTAGCTGTAGACTGCGGAGGGCCGGCCAGCCGGCTGACTGGCTGGCTGACTGACTGCCCGGCCGGCTGACTGGCACCACAGAGACCCGGTGGCACCGCGCGGGAACCAACGTCAACCTGTGATGAAAGACGGTGGCCGATTGTTTCCTGTTATTGAAACACTGGGCTGGAGAGTCCGGGATGGGGGGGGGGGGAGGAGGAAGAGGGGAGGCTCCAATAAGAAAAGAGAAAAAAAGGGAAGCCGGGGAGAAAGAGAGGGCTACTGTAGAAGCGTCAGCCTCAGATGTGCCATGAATTCCTTGGATGCTCGCCGTCCCGATGCGGCACACGACGACCCATTAGTGTCCGGAGGAACGAGGTCGAGGCGAGGTCACCGAGGCCACGGGGGGGGGGGCTCGATGCTCAGTGGGACTGTTGCAGTGCACCATGGGATTTCAGCACTTCAAACATGTGCGTTTAGTCCAATTAGTTGTTAAGCACTCGTGATTGTCAATCATGGATTAACTAGATTAGGCCTGTCGAGTGTCTGCGGTTGGAGTGCCCATTGAGATCCATTTAAAAATGATTGTGGTGGGTATATTTTTTTGACAGCATCCTGTAGGTGGGAATTACGTGCTAATAGTGAGCCGTTTAGTGCTTAAATCAAGTGGGTATTAATACACTGGAAACCGTCCTGAACAAAATAATATTGATTTTCTTTTTTCTTGCGCGGTTACACGCGGTTCGGCTTCCAATAAACTTGGAATTGGAGGCATGACACTAGCTGGGACAACACTTTAAAATTACTTTGCACCTTCGTGACTCCCCATATTTCACCGAATCTGTCACACGCTGTTTTTTTATTTTGTCAGCACTTCTTCAATTCCAGTTTCTTGAGTGAATCACACATTCCATGCATAGTAAAGGAGACTTCAAACACTCCTTTTCAACTGTTTTACCCTTCGAGTATCAGGATTAGCAACAAATTGAAGTGAGTTTCTGTACTGAATATAGAATGGAAGTTGATGGAGGGAGAGAGGTCACTGCACATGACGCACACGGGGGGTGAAATCAGAGAGATAGTTTTTCTATTCTAAACGCTTTGGAGGCCTTGTTGTTGAACACTAGTCCATGCATATGTTTCATTCACTCGTACTCCTTGGTTCTGCCAATGGACTTTGTGTGGAGAGTTGATTTCACGGGATAACGACTCCTCTGAGTCTGTTCAGGAGGAGAAAGGATGTTATGTCTACTCTTTGTTTCACTCAATTCTTCCTCACACAGTACTAGTGGTGTGTTGTGCTGTTTTTAAACGGCTGTTCCTTTAAAAAGGAAACGTTAGCTTGTTCTGATTTTTTCCAAGTTTCACCAGGAGGAATCAACCGATGATGCAGCGGATTACATGTCACTAAAACATACATATACACTTGCAAGAACATCGCTCTGGGCTTTTTTTATTGCAATTTATTTTTGGCTGGTGGCTGACCACTGCAGTATTGTACATTTACAATTTAGGAATTTTATTTGCACTACGGGTAAAATAAAAATAACACAACATCAGTTGTTTTTCTAATTGAGCAAAGATTGTCTTTTTATTAAACGTGTGTTAACTTTTTATAGATTGCCGAATAACATTGCACAACTTATTTTTGCATTTTATTAAGTGTGAATTAATGTTGACTTTTTTTATATAGCAATATCACCCTGAACGTTGGAGATGTGCTAAACAGCACCAATCGAAAAGGCAAAGTTGTCATAGCAACGTGTGTAACGAAAGGGTCACTACGGCCCAGAGAGTAAAGGAATATTAAACTAGAGACTAAATTAAAAAGAGTGCAACAGCATCACAGTCACGTAGCTCAACAATTACCCCGATTACACCCCGTGTTTAAGACACAATGCCATGAAAGGAGCAGCGCCGCTCGTGTCACCAGGAAGCGAACAGGGAGACGGGGGCCGGAGGGTGGAGGAGGGTGGAGGCTGGGGTATAAAGGTGGGGAGGGGGGGGGGGGGGGTCCAAAAGGCAGCCCGCGCCCCCCCGCCGGCTCTAACTTGGGAAAGTCCGGACGTCGTCACTTCGGCCGCGCGTGGATTATAAAGGGGATTTTATTCAGGGAAGCCCCCCCGAGCCGAGAAGTAAGTTGGCTGCTTCATAACTTTGTTGTAAGTCTGTTTTATTTCCACAGGGACATTTTTTTTTTTGGGGGGGGGGGGGGGTGTTATTTCTGCGGTGGCCCAGAAGGCAGTGATGTATTCATGCGCTTTCCTTTAACCAGGTAGCATGGACAACATGTAGTCCGGAATATGCCTGTTTTTTGTCAAGTCAAGTAACGGCGCGGCGGTGCTTTAACATTTAATATTTTAAATTCTTCTTCAAAGTTCTGATTCAAAAAGCCGCTTTTACGTCTGTAACTTATGACCGTTTAACTCCACCCGTAACAGTTCATTGGTGTTTATTGGCGGACTCATATTTTTGGCTTCACCGGTTAACTCCCTTTGCGGATTTTGTAAAAACCTTCACTTTTCAGAGAAGACTGCTGCTATTTAAAAAAGGCACTTTGTCTCTCGCAGTAAGTCAGAAGTAACGCGAGCGTTTCCCGTTCGGAGGCGAGTAAACAGTTTACACAGGCTCTTCCTTTCCCTCCATATGAATCGTACAACACGAGCAGCCTCCCGCTTATCTGATCTCGGCATTGTGATTTTATTTAAAGAAAGCGATGCCGTAGTGCTTCCTGGAGTTAGTGACCAGCAGATAACCTCTGGGGCTTCAGACCCCTCTTTGTGCACCACCAACACGATCATTATGGGATGGTCTCAGCAGCCAAAAGTCACTGAAGGAATCTAAAACATTTATGCAACATTCCTCCCTGAGCGTGCATGAAAGTAACCAACTTATCTTAGTGATGTTTTTTTGCTGCTGCTTTTTGATAACATGAGATGTGGTTTCGCCACTTGTTTCGACCTTGGCCATGTGAGTGACATGCGTGAGATTGGCTGCCCGTCACATCCTAATCAGCCCAAGCATCTCCTCATTGATCGCCCCCGTCCCCTTTTTTCCTTCTTCTTCCCCTGACCTTTCTGCTCTCTAAAGACTGACCTTGTCTCACCTGTTCCGGCGCCACAGTCCCTGCTGCTCCCGCCACTAGAGGACTCTTCAGCATCTGCCTGAGAAGCTTCACCCGCCCGCCGACCTCCACCCGGCTTCCACCGACTCCTCCCGACGTCACCTGGAAAGACGATGGAAGGTCACGTGGTGCGACTTCTTCTGTGCATCTCGGCTGCAGCCGGCGGTGAGTGCGCTCGCTGATATTTGGTGTTTTTAAACGCTTAGATGTTTCTGCCACTGGGATTTAAAACATTGAAAAGGGAATAAGCTCAGCCAACAGGCCCCCCGGGGCATATTCCTGTCAACCCAAAGTTCAAAGGCACATGTTAATCTCGCCCTTAATTTCATACTGAAGACTATTTTTTTCCTTCACTCTAAATTGGGTTTTACTGCTGATCTGTAGAGAGGTTGTATGCAAAATAGTTGTTTGGATGATGTATTATACTCCCAACAGCTCAGAGATTATATAGTACACTATATTTCTGATAAATTGTGGGAATAAATCCATTGATACAAACTGAATAAAAGTAAAATAAAAACACACAACTCCAAATCGGACTATTGAACGTCTGATTAATCTTGGGAAGCAATTGTCTGTGTAGTTGTTCAGATTTTAAAAGTGGAATATTTTATTGAAAGACCTGTGGGACGTGTACATATGATTCCGCTCCGTTGCCCCCCCCCCCCCCCATCTAACACCCCCCTGCACTGGTTGCCTGTGGCTATCCATATCAAATTCAAACCTGTAATCCCTGTGACGGGGCAAAGGGATCTGAAACTATCGCTGTGCCCTCAGGCCATAATCCTGCCTCGCGCTCTTAACGCCACGCTGCACTGCAGCTTCGGGGTGTTTGGGTCTCACTTCGCTGCGGTAATCTGGCATCTGGGGCGGTCACATGGCTCCAATAAATAACACAATGCTAATTGATGTATTTGGTTATTTCGTTTTTGTGCAAATATCTTCAATATTTTTGGTAATAGGGTTTTTTTTTTTTCTTTAACTATGACGTTTTTGACAAACTGCACCTAAGTGCCAATTACGATGAATTTCTGAATAGATATTCACGTTGTTCTAAGTAGTACTCCATATACGCCGTGAAAGACAGCGAAATGAACGTCCTGTTATGTAATATAAGCGTCTCCGCGTTCACTTTCCAATGATGCACTTGCAGCTGGAACGAACACTTCAGGGCCAAATAACCGTTTTCACACCCCGCGTTTACCAACATAAACTGGCATTTCAAACTTGCTTTTAGATGAGGCAAGTTGGCCCGGTCCGATGTGATCGCGCGCACAGAGAAACGCCCCCGTTCCCTCAAACCGTCTTCGGCGTCAAAGCACAATATGGCCTTGACCGGTCCCACCGGCTGCTGGTGGAGCCTTCAAGCAGATATTTGAGTTACTTCCTCTCCAGGAGAAGATGCTGCAGAGAGAGCCGTGACAGCGGGGGGTGGGGGGGGGGGGGGCTCTGACCCTGTGCACTGTGTGTCGAAGTGTTGAAGCGCTGATCTGAATATCGCCGTGACACGTACACGCTCCTCCGTCTCTGGCATTGCGTATTTGTGATTATGTAGTTCATGTTTGTCACATTAATTTGTCATTTTCTCTGACTTTTGTCTCCTGGGGGTTGCCACCATTGTTGTTGTTTGAACAAATGACGCACAAACATCAGGCGTGACTCACCGCGGCCAGGAGTGCGCTCCATACGAAATCAAATCGGAAGGCTCCCGGAGTGAGCAAGGCGCCGCAAAATCCGCCTCGATTTGAGGTTTGTTTGTTTAATGGAAACCTCGGCAGTTGCGTTCGCAGACACGATGTGAAAGTTTCTCAAAAGAAGACGCGAACACGGAAAAAGTCAAAGTAAATCAGAAATAGCCTGCAGCCTGCAACAAATCCCATGTCTCTCTCTTTGCCAGTTGCAGGCAATGGTTCTGTGTCTTACTTCAGCTCTCTTTGTTACCTAGCGCTTTGATATCAGGCTTATTAAATCCTTCTGTTATCTGGAGCGAGGTTTGAATGTAGAGCAGCTACTGCGCTCACAATCTAGGGAACCTGAACACTTGTCGGCCATAACTACTGTGTTTAGATGTCGTTTCTGTCTTTGTGTGTCGTAATATCTGAATACATGGCCAAGGGATCCAGAAAAAAAGACGATGTCCAATTTTGAGACTTCTACTTTTTTATCTGCTAATTTCTAAATTGGAACCTCAATTCTTCCTCCGAGCGGCCCACTAGCCTGCATGCATTTATTCGTTTTTGTAGAGATTCTGTATCATGAGCGGTCGATGTGATGAAGCAATTGCTGTTGCCAGATTACTTGGTAATAGTTTTAGCTTAATTTGTGAGACTGTGTTAAGCGGGTGTCAGTACCTGCATGGCTAGAAATCCACAGGCTGCACAGCCACAGCTTCTAATTCTTCCCCGGAATTTGACATCAGTGCCTTCTTTTCACCAGCTCTGGATTATTCATCAAAATCGCCCACAGCCTTTCTCTTTTAAACCTTGAAAAGCTCATCCTTTCTTTCACCTTGCACCTTAAATATTAAAATCCCTGATGTGCTGGGAGCAGTCAGGCCTCTCTTTCTTATCCGTGGTCTCTGGAAAGGCTCCTGTCGGGCGCCATTTAAAGCGGACAGCATCACCCCGGTCTTAGTTTCACTACACTGCCTCCCCGTGAGGTTAATTGTGTTGAAAAAAAAACAACTGTCAGCCGTTTGTTTCGGTCCAGCGTACAGGTTTATCTCTCAGCGCATATGGTACCACAATTTCTCTAAATCCAGTCAGGCATTTAAGCTGTGGTATTTGTTTGTGCCAAGATCATACCGGTGGAGATGAGATGCCTTTGACGCGGTGGAATTAGTTCTTCCTCGATGTTCGCTCGTTGCTTTACGATAAAACATAAACATTTCCGTCCGTCCGAGCACTGCGACTACAGGCACGTGCGACACACTTAAAGGCACTTTTTTAAAGCGACGCCAAGAAGTGGGAGCTCTCTGCCTTGGTCAGCGGGAGCTGCTCGCCACAGCAAATTGTTTAAGATCAATTCACAAGAAGATTTTCCATATCTCCAGGCCAATTTAGAATCGCGAGCACAATAACGGCTAACCACTTAAGCTGCGCGCAGCAGTTGGAAACAAACAATGATCTATGCGTCCGACTGAAGTCTTTGTGTTATTCGATTTTTATCCGCTGTGTCCCCGACGTTTCCTGGCAGGGAAGTGGCGTTGAACATGCCTCCCATCTGCAACAACTTTCCCAGCGGGGAGGCCCGGCTGCGTGATGTTAACTAGCAGACCTCCCGCTGCATTTCTGCCCACCCCAGAGTCTCCCTCCACGGGCCGAAGGAAAAGCACAAAAGTGATTAGCGAGCCGCTGGAGAAGAAGGGAGGGCCGTCTGACGGAGGGGGAAGGAGAGCGAGACAGACGGACGGACGGACGGACAAACAGAGATAACAGAATTCATAAAGACTGATTCATGGAGACAGTAAGGGAGTGGGGGGGGGGGACACATTTATGTGACTGTCAAAGAGCAGATAAGTGGTTCAGAGGAAAGATGTGGGGAAAGAGTAAGTAAGTAGCTAGGGGATTAAAAAAAACACAGATAGGAAAAAGGACAAGACGGAGATAGAAGACGCGAGAGATACGGAGCCCCAGTTTAATGATTCGTTTCCCGGGAAAGGGGAAATAAAAGACCGCGTCAGGATGTAGAAGAATACTTAACAAACAACACATGCGTTTATTGACACAAGTGTTTGGTTTAAAAAAAGACGGGATAGGCGTGCAAATAGGGGAACAGACTCAAAGAGGAAAAAGAAAAAAAAAAGTCATGTTAAAAACGGCGCTGAAAGTTTAAAAAAAAAAAAACAGTCCACTTCCCCCATTTGAGTGCAGCGAGCCGGCTCGGCCTGCCGTCAGACTGGGTGGCAGGGAGACGCGACCACTTGTCGCTGCCTCAGACCGATTTCAATCTCCCCCAATGTTACGCCCCGCCCAAATAACAATCCCTCTCCGACTGCCTTGCTTTTCCTCTGTTTTGGAAACACAGTGTGAGAGCCTCACTGTTCCCGCGTAATTTTCACCAGCCAGCACTTGTAGCATCCAATGTCGCATGGAAGTAATGATACTTGTGGGAGGAAGGAAAAAAACTAAACACAATTCAAGAGGGATCTTTTTTTTCAATAAGAGAAAAAGGTTAGAACAGGATAAACATAATGAACCTTTATTAAAACGTTCATTGTATTATTATATAAGAAATGAGAAGTCTTTTCATACGGCGTCTGTTACATGATTGCACCGCTCTTATTGTAAATAGCACTCCGACGTCGCTGTAATAGTTATGCCTGCTTTAAAAAACAGAAAGAGTTTAATATGGCGGGATAAACGCCTCGTCGGCACGGCGACCGCTTCTTCACGTCGACATGTCCGTCCAGATAAGGCGTGGCAGTATGTACTCTTCATCTCCAGGTGTGTGGACCACGGGGTCTGCACACGTAGTGCACCTGCATAGACGAGTGTTGCTGGCTCAGCTGTCTCATGCGTACGACCCGATGCCAACGTTGCACAAAGGAGGGAAGGCGTCCGATGTCCTCAGCTCGAGTGCTCTGTGACATGTTTGAGCACAAATGAAGGGCCTTGGCGTTTAACCTTTTCTTTTGGCCTTGAGGACATCCTGACAAACCCCAAAATTGTATTTTTGACCGTGCTCAGGCAATTTTTCTGTACTTTGCACATGTTTTTGTCACAGTATTCTATACTCATGCATACCTTGATTAAGAGTTTAGCAGTGTTGCACTGAGCCTCTGAACAGTTTTCCTGTTTTCAGGGGCCACACCGGTCAACCTGTATTTAGAGAGCTGGCGTGTGCGTGTTTGCTGTGACGGGAGAATCATCTCTGCATTTTAGACGGTGGATTTTGTCATTTGCTCACATTTCTGTAATATGTTAGAAAACCGCCTCAAAGCAAAAGCCTCGGGACATCTGACAGATTATTTTAATCTGCTCACATACTATAACTACAACAAATCTCTAAAGTAAAACTCTGGATGCTTAATCTCTTCACAGACGCTGAAGGGTATAAAGTTAAACTTGTTTAACAACTATCCCAGACACTTTATTTATAGAGTGAGTGTTGAAGCCATATCAGATCTTGCTTAGGTCATTTAAAACCTTTATATCTTGAGGCCC